GTCACAGTCTCTAGTGGGGTGAGGAGAGACAAAAACGCCCAAACCTTGAAGTGATCCTCAACATACCCCCACTTTGTACCACTAAATACCCATTGGTTCGTCTAGACCTGTAGGAGTATCCGTCAACGGTAGCACTTCGTCGGATTACCTTCTGAAAAGCATACGGTGCCAGTCGCTTTAGGATTGGCATGGACCTCATGACGAAATCCACGTAGCCCGAACCAAGCTAAAGTTGTTGATCAACTTGTCCACCAAACTGTTGATTCGCATCAGCAACAGCAGCTGCAGCTGCAGCCGTACTAATTTGTGAATGCCGCGTGCATCTGCGCCAAACTCATCGCCACCTTGACAGTCTCTTCAGCGGCGTGGAGATCATGGACCTCATGTCGGACCTCGGGGCGTACGCATCGCTGCTCTACACAGCCGCGCTCACCGGCGCTATGAAAGTGGTCTACACCATCGTCGTGGCCTTTGCACTGGTGGCCTCGCTCCACGGAGTTCACACCCGGGCCATGATTATCCTCGATATGCAGGAGGTAGGTACGCAAAACCATGCATTTGACGCTACACTACTTGTTCGTAGAGGTGGCCGGTCTAATGTTTAACGAGGCGGTTGGCAAGCTTGTGGCTACGGCGTGCTTCAGACCAGGATGAGCCTAAAGATAGATAGGATCGTTTCAACACCGCCCATCTCACCCCTCCCAACACCATCATCCTAAACTTGACCAAGCCCTCCCCCTTAAGGTCCCGTCTCTCCCCCCGCAACCTATTGTGTATGACCGTCGACTTAAAACTAGGAGCGAATGCACGGGCTAGCGATCACCGGAAACAACATGCTGTACTACGAGAAGCAATTCACAATATTGCAGATCATGAGTCAGAAACGGACTTGCCGTATCCACGTGCCGTTCGACCGTGGCAACAAGGTGGGCGTGATGCTAGGAGTTTTGGTTCGGCGATTTCCTTCTAAGTACGCCCAAGACTTGAAGTAGGCGTTGATTACTGGTCTAGTGTCGACATAGCGTACAAAATTAGCAACACTGTAGCAGCGAAATAGCTCAGAAGGTGCGCGAACCTCAAGGTGAAGAAATGCTTCAGCTACGCGTTTTTTTGTCCACTTAATTAAGGCCTTCACAAAGTTTCGCTAACGTCGTTGAACCCGCGGAACGACTTTGTACTTCGTTTTTCCTGATAAGATTTCAGTCACCCTTTGTCGTGATAGTTTGACAAAACGAAACCAACCACGTATGGTTAAGATGAAAACGGAGCGTAAGAAGCAAGCAAGACGCAGAAAATGCCGACCAACGCTCCTCGATTGAAAATCACGGTCTGCCGCCGCCTGTCTCTCGTTGAAGCGGTCAGGTTTTGCCTGAGTTGCTGATGTACACGTCGTGGTTCTTACGTTCCTACCCACTTCACCAACAGTTCCTTTTTATCGTTCGGCACAGCGTCTTGCCCTTGTCTTTAACATACTGTCACCCTTTGTCGGGCCAATGCTGCCGTGCCACTGTCGGATTGTACGCGAACGCCACCACCATGCTCATGAACCCTGCATGCAGTACTTAAGTCATCACATCGGCGTCCAGCGCCTAATAAGTCTAAACTCCATGAGGATCATCATCGCCATTTTCGAGGACGTGCCCTTCCTGGGTCTCAACATGTACCTCCTTATGACGCAGCCCGACCTCGCCAGCAATCTCGTCTTCATGGTGCGTTCCCTATTGACACCGCCTTGGTTCATTTTCTGGCGCATCGGTGTCACCTCTATCGGCCAAGGGGAGAGGGTAGGTTAGGCTGGGGTAATCTCTGTTTCATTTGTTGTTCCTCGGTGGGTACACATGAGCATAAGGTGAACGGTTGGTGGCGACCTGGGGCAAAGAAAGCTGTATTTGTTTGCTGCGGAGATGTTCGTTCGACGCCTTCAGAGGCAGGGCCAGAAGATTGACTGTCTTGGAACGCTTCATTCATTTTTAGGTTTGCGGAGCGACCTTGAAGAGACTGCTCTGACCTCTGGGAAAGCTCAATCGATCCTATCAGTGTTTTTCATTCCACCACGCGTGGTATGATTGGTAGTCGTGACATGACAATCATCTACTCCTCTTGAATATAGACATCGTCCTGTCTTGCGCTTCAATTCCACACAACGTGCTTGGTGTACCGATATATCCACGTGTATATTGATGCCCGCAAAGTGTTCGCGTGTGCATCCAGTTTTGGGCAGTGCGAACAACCGTGCGTGACAATTTCTACAGGCGCTCAGCGGGTGCCCGTGTACTCACTTGCATTTAACCCTGCCATGAATCTGTACACCCGGCGTCCGTCAGATGAGCTTCGTGATGTCGATCTTTGTTCTGGGGTACAAGATGACACTCCTGGAGAAACACGCGAGGCTCCAGATTCGGAAGTGGAACCTGGAGTCCAGGATGGACACGGACACGATGCTCAACAAGAAGGCGGCCAGGGGCAGGCGCTTCTCCTGGGCGTGTCAGCAGTGTGAGGTGAGGTTCATCAAGTGGTGGGGACGAGAGCGGCGTCCCTGCTGACCGAGCTGTTGGTCCAAGGCGCCGCCGCACGGCATGGTACTCGCAAGTATTGTCGAAGAACTCCAACCACGTATTTTACATGCCACCGTCAAACGCTACCTATTATTTCAGCCGGTGCGCTAGATATCGTTGGTAATACGCTGGTATTGTCATTTAGATGCAACGGCCAGATAAATTGAGGTCGGTACAACGCAAAACACGGATCACCAGACAAAGCTTGCACCGCATAGTATGAAAGAGCTCCAGCTCTTAGAGGCAGCTGGGTCCTTAGGTAAAGAAAGAGGGACGGTCGCTTGATGCCTTGTCTCCACGATTGATTGTGTAGAAATGAGATGTTGCTTGAATTGAGAGCAAGGAAGGTCTGGTTGAGGAGGGGATCCTCCTGTCAACCAGGGGGCACGCAGATAGCTGAGTCCTGATGTGGTATGGTCCCTCAGAGGTATATCCCCCGGACAACCCACATCCTATTCTAGACCAAGATGTACCCTATCTAAGCCCTACATCAACACTCCTTAACAAAAGTATACGAAAATACGCGAGACTTCATCGCACCCCACTGTGGTTGGTAAAATCGTGTGTGCCGCTGTGTTGAAGAGAAATAATTCCGTTCTGTCTACATGTCTAAGACAAATAGCGCCCGCACGTAAGAAGTTAGCAGTTAAGAAATTGAGACTCGCAAAAAATCAGAAGCTAAGAACTAGTGCACCATTTGTGAGCTCGGTTAAGAACCCCAGACTAAAACCTATATAGCGGCCATTTGTAGCCCACAAGATGATGATCAGCAAAACAAGAACCCCAGCCTCGGCCGAAACTACAGGTTCTTAAGTGCGGGCGCCATCTGTACTGTAGTGAACCTTCAAATTCGTCTTTGAACTCCCTCGAAGAGTCCACCCCACGTGAACAGTGCGACTTTTCTTGAACACATCCTAACAAAGCTGCTGGGCTCTGATGATGATATAGACTATGCAGCGCCTCCCCCGGGCGGTGTTTCCACCCCACAAGGTCAAAGGGTGTACGGTCAAGCTACAGATGATAACAAATGTGTCGTTATTATCTTCTTGCCTGGTCACCACTTTCTCCCTCTGCCCGCAGGATGTACAGCGCGCTCCCCCACTCTCCGATGCCCGCATACCCCCCCC